GTGAAGAAAATCCTGGAAAATATTTTCTCAGATTTATTTCAAAATCTAGAACTGGAAGTAGCTCTAAATTTACAAACAACAAACTTTGTCAGATAAAATGTTACATTGAAAACTCAGGCCTATGACATACGCCCTTACCAGACAAAGCTATTATCAAGTATACTGAGTTCTATCAAGTTCGTTGACAAAATAACAAGAGCATTATGGCTTTTAACATCAGGGTCATTTCTGGTAACAAATTCACAAGTTAATTTAGATTCTACTTAATTTTAGTTTTATTGAACATGTGCGATGAAATTGACATATACAGTGATATTTTGATAAGTAAATTTGAAATATTACATACATACCTCAAACTCACTTTGTGAAAATCGAGTGGTATTTTATACATTGCATGAAAATCTCCTTAAATAAAATGATAAAAGTCTACAATGCACATATACTTGGTACATGAACTGTCTAATGCACTAACATCCTTAATAAGGCATTAATCCACATTTGCCACTCTCCATCCAGGTATAAAAAGGCACCTGATATGCCAAAGTGCTACATATTTGGACACCGCCTAGGACCAGGGTAATAATATTTGAGCGCCATAACTGCCATGGCATGATGGCATGTGCACTATATCAGAAGTCAACGTTATCATTATAACTACTAGTCCCTGGTGTTGTCACCTTCTATACACATGCAGGCATAATGCATGATCATAGCAGAGTAAAAAATGGACTTCAAGTTAGAGTATTTTCAAAAACATTTTCCAGAAAAACATGACTCTTTCCTTCATAAAACATCTTGATACTACTCTGTGCTGGGCATTCACAAAACAAGGTGATAAAATAAGTGAAAAGGGATGGTAAGTACAAGTAGTTTTGTATCAAATAAGCACATACGGTAGTTGTATGTTTAAAGTTATGGTATTTTATTGCCAACAACAATATGCTTTATAAGGCACGTCCAAAATTAGCAAAACCAGGATAATGCAAATACATCCGTCTGCCAGCCTCGCAAGGAAATATATCCTTAAATTACTGTCAACTATTTAAAATGAAACATGCTTTAGGTTTCTTGTGAAGGACACACAATTTTTATAATACCAAAATCTTGTATTCCACTAATACAGTTAAACATGACCCTGGGTCTAAAAAAGAAAAGAAAATTCAGACTTCGCACTTTGTAAATAATACTACTAATAATATTCTAGGTTTATATAGCGCTCAGTGAAACATCGCCTCTTGGTGCTTCACCAAAATGTCATTACTCTGGTCATCAATTTCAGGCTTGCCGGCACACAATGTATCCTCATTCTCCACTCTCTGGGAAGCATTTCAACCGGATGTCATTGAACAAAAGCCTAGACACAGTGTCACGTTTGGTATGGGGTCATGAATTGGATGCATCTTCACTTTTACCATATTCAATGATCGTTGTCGTGGTTGATATTGAGTCTAAAGTGATGAAATTGTAAATAATAAACTCTTTATGTTGTATACATGTAGCTCCCTCTCAAGACTGACTTGACTTGACTACATACAACAGATTTGCTATTCCCGTTTGGACATTATATATCAGAACTGCATATTCTGAGATTTTCAAGGCCGCAGCTGCCATTGAAATTGCCTTAGCCGCTATTTAAAATATTTGTAATTTACCAGGACCATAATAATACGTCCACATAGGCATAAAAATATATCACAATTTTAAAGAATTACTATCCATCAAATTTTCAAAATTTCCCAAAACTTTGCATTACCTTTAAGATTGACTAGAACAGGTGCCAAAGAGTTGATATTGACCAGTTGGAAGCTTCACATTATTACTTTATATACTTCACTAAATCTTCAACCTCTGCAGCCTGTAAGATTTCCTTAAGCTCGTCCATATTACCACCCGTCCTTGTCTTCCACTGTGCCAAGCAATGCCTTGTAGCTCTCGGGCAGTCCATGTTAAACTTGGCTAGGAAGTTGTCGGCTTCAGCGTATCCGATGCCAAGATATGTGCATAGCGTTGTGTAAGTCCCATGAGGCATGTGTTTTGATAGTTTGTCAAGTTTTCTATCTGTTTCCAGATTATTCCTGAGGAATGAAAGAACGATTGATGCAATCTGATGGTGTCACTTTATATTTATGGGTGTAAGTGTGGAGCCCCAGAAGTGTCAAGTTTAACAGACATGAGTGCTACACTAAAATCCACTTTTATCAGTGTTGTTATTATTATTATCATTATTTATCATTATTATTATTATCATCCTTATTGTTATTAATATCATTATCACAAGTTGTTAGTCAAGATGAAGTCAAGATGAAATGTTACCACTAGGACACTGTCAGGCGCGAAGCAGTTTGGAATTGGGGGGGGGGGGCAAACGTTCTAGGGGGCTCACCTTCCAGGGGCAGTGGCGTAATGAGCAAAAACGTTTGGAAGCCCCGGCAGGGGGTCAAGGGGCTGAGCCCCCGGAAGCTCAGGGTTTTTAGGCATTAAATTACGGTCAGATAAGCATATTTATATACCTTATTTGTTACACTGTTAGGTCACTAATTGGCGGAAAGTCCAGGGGACAAAGCCCCCGGAAGCTCAGGGGTTTTAGGTATTTAATTACGGTCAGATGAGCATCCAGGGGCCCTATTTAAGGCAATTGATGTGGTCCGGAAGCTAAGGGTTTCAGGTATTTAATTACGGTCAGATGAGCATTCAGGGGTTTTTAGGAATTTAATTACGGCCAGATGGGCATCAATGGGCCCGTCTTAGGGCCCTTGGTGGGGGTCCAGGGGGCAGAGCCCCCGGAAGCTCAGGGGTTTTAGGTATTTAATTACAGTCAGATGAGCATCCAGGGGCCCGTCTTAGGGCACTTGGTTGGGTCCAGGGGGCAGAGTCCCCGGAAGCTCGGGTTTTTTAGATATTTAATTACGGTCATATGGGCATCCAGGGGACTGTCTTAGGGCTCTTGGTGGGGTCCGGGGGCGGAACCCCCATAAGCTCTGGGGTTTTAGGCATTTAATTACGGTCAGGTGAGCATATTTTGATACCTCTTTTGTGACAATGGCAGGTCTCTAATTTTTTTTCTCTCTCTTTCTTTCTTTTTCTCTGTAACATACTTTTTCAAAAAGTGAGGGAGGCTCGAGCCCCCGAGCCCAGCCGTTTCTTCAGGCCCTGACGTAAAGGCTTCTAAATAGGCATATTTTTTGCCCGACTGTAAATTAGGGAATTTCTAATTTTCCAACAAACTCATAAAAAGGTATATGACTAAAAAAAATTGAGAAAAATACCCGAAAATCACGTCATTTCAGCAATATTTGTAAATCAGTGGTATCGAATAAGAAATACCCCCCCCCCCCATCAGTAAGCCAGTGTTCAGGGGCTCATGTCTTCTCACCCCTATAACAAAAAAACACACACCCTTTCCCATCCTCTCATAATATTTCCACGATATGCGCGTATCGCTATAATAAAAAAACCTCTATTGATAAATATAGGTGGCATGCTGAATGTTTAGAAAATTGAATTTCTGTTAACTTTCCTTTTCTTTGAATGGAATTTTATATGTGATTTAATTCCGGTTTTTATTATTGTTATGTTCTTTTGGGTTTAAAATACAAACCATCTTTACTCCTTTACTGCATTTCTTTCTTCTTTTTTGAAGGGGGGGGGGCGTTTGGGGGGGGGGGGCAAAAATGCGTTTTGCCCCCACCCCACACTTTTTTGTTTGGGGGGAAATCCCCCCCCCCCCCCCACTTCCGGCGCCTATGGACACTGTCTTACTCTACTGATAACATAACAGCTTTACTTCATACTTTGATTGCTTCTCAGGAATTTCAGGATCATCCTGTGGAACTCTTGACTGAGTGCAAGGAGCTTGCCTCATGCAAGGCTTGCTCTGACTGCTACCATCTTCTCTGTGTGTCTGTGAGAATTCACATACAGTATCTGATGTATTGCCTGATGAGTTCGAGGGTCTTAGATTTGGTAGATACTCATGATAATAGACGAGTCGGCAGTCAGGTTTGTTGTGATGGAGACATGTTTATTACACTACGACGGATACCGGATATTCGGATATCGCATATCGTAACATCCCCCTTCCTCTGGAAAGATTGGGAATCAGTGAACATCACTGATCGATGATTAATAACATATTGCTTTGATAACAATACTTTTGGTAGTATGCAAGTTTTGGTTATTTGCTTCCTAATGAACTTTTTCCAATCAGGTTATATAACATAACATCTTGATTTGTTTTCAATACGTTTCTTTTGTATTGTATTAACGAATGAGTATTTACCTGTCTATATAATTATATCGTTCCACTTTCAACTTCACAGTTGATCTGCAAGATTGAACAGAGTTTTGACTTTTGATATAACTTGATTCCTTTATCAAATGAATTTCCAAACGAAACATGTTTGGGCTAGCATCTGTTTAGATTTGTAAACATTATGCTTGTCATACCAAAAATACTGTACAATGATTATACATACATATGAACAATAAACTTCTTAGACTACATTAAACTAAAAGTCTTCTGTGTTCTTCTTTATCTTCTCTCTTCTTTGAAGAAATTTAAGAGTTCAGTTTCAATCTTCAAACATATATCTCGCTGGTGTACGGATGTTGCGTCCATATCTAGTTGTGGTTTGCGAGGTTGTTGTTGGTCCTTTAGATTGAATGTTCTGAGTTTCTGGTGTTGGAGTTGGTGGATGGTTGTTGCCATTCTGTTGTGGTGTTTCTGATTGAGTAGATGAAGTGTAGTCTTCGTCGAACCTAACACGCTTTGGAGTTGGGTTGGTTGACGTTGGAATCTCCCTCAGGTGAGATCGGTTACGTCTCAGGATTCCTCCGTTGGGTGTTGATACTTCATACGACCTAGGCTCGTCGCAGACTTTGGATACTTTGGCTGGTATCCAAGTATGATCTTTGGGATGTAGGACTCTGACTGGTTGTCCTACCTGGAGTGGTGGAAGATCTAGACCCGCATGTCGATCGTGCGTTTCCTTCATCTTTCTCTATCGATTCAAGAGATGATCAGTGGTGGTAGATCCTCTTGAAAGATAATGACTTGGCAGTGTTGTTCTGATGGGTCTTCCAAACACCATCTCTGCAGGTGATCTCATGTGACTGTCAACAGGTGTTGCTCTTAGGTGTGACATAGCCAGTTGACTGTCTTGGCCAGTCTGTGAACACTTTTTCAACAGATTCTTGACGGTACGAACCATTCTCTCAGCAAGTCCGTTGGATCTTGAATAGTGAGATGAAGAGGTTGTATGTGTAATCAACCACTTCCGGCACATGTCCTTGAAGTGCTTACCGACAAATTGTGGACCGTTGTCCGATACGATCTCATCTGGTGGACCACATAGACTGAAGATTCCACTCATCACGTTAGCTACTGCAGCACTTGATGTGTCAGTCAGCTTGTAGACTATCGGGTACTTGGAGTAATAGTCAGTGACGAGTAAATAGTCTTGTCTGTTGAGTATGAACAAATCTGTCCCTAGTCTAGTCCAAGGTGCTGAAGGTACATCATGGGGAAGCAACGGCTCTTTCTGTTTCCTTGCCTGGTGTTCCTGGCATGCAGCACAGTGCTTTACGAGCTGTTCAATGTCCTTGTTGATGTGCGGCCAGAACACTGTCTCACGAGCTAGTCGTCTCGTGCTCTCGATTCCCATGTGTCCAAGATGAAGTTGTCTAAGGATATCTTCCAGAAGTGTCTTTGGTATGATCACTCGGCTTCCTTTGAAAAGTACTCCTTGTGATACTCCAATCTCGTCTCTGTCAGACAAGAATTCCCTTAAGGATGTCGGAAGCTCTTGAAGAGTTTCAGGCCAACCCTGAGTGACTGTCTGCCACAATGACCTAAGAACAGGGTCATTGGATGTTTCCCTCTGGAGTTCTGTTCTCTTGTGTTGTCCGAAGAAGATCAAGTCGATTTGATGAGTGTCTTCTACTTCGGAGCAGATAGATTCCACTCTGATGTCTAGTGGAACATCACGTGCTTCCTTGGGGTTAGGAAGACGGCTCAAGGTATCTAAAAGAATCATTTCTTTCCCAGGTCGGTACTTGACTTGGCTTCTGTGTCCTTGTACCTTGATCAATAGTCTCTGTAGACGAGGTGGTGCGCTTCTTAGAGGTTTCTTCCAAATTGTCTCCAAAGGCCTGTGATCTGTTATCACAGTGAATTCCTTCCCGAATAGGTATGTATGGAATCGGGTGATACCAAACACTAGGGCTAAGGTTTCCCTCTCTATGTTTGAGTAGTTGGACTGCGTATTGGAGAGAATTTTGGATGCAAAAGCTACAGGTTTGCCATCTTGGAGCAGGCATGCTCCCAGCCCTTTCATCGACGCATCTACCTCAACGGTTGTCTCTTTCTTTGGGTCAAAGAACTGCAGGCATGCTCCCGATGAGACTTTTCAGGCTGTTTAAGGCATGTTCGTGATCCTCGTTCCAGACAAATGGAATTTCCTTGTGAAGGAGTTCATGAAGCGGTGCTGACTTCTCTGATAGATTAAGTATGTATGGTGCTAGGTATGTGAATAATCCTAGGCATCTCTGAACATCTTCCTTGTCCTTGGGTGAAGGCATTGTATTGATAACTTGGAGCTGTTGAACACTAGGCCTTCCTGTTTTGCTGTCTCCATAAGCAAATGAAGATTCTTGTCGTGTTCCTCCTTTGTTTTTCCGACAATGGCAATGTCGTCTGCGATACATACGCAGCCAGGCACATTCTGAACGATCCTATCCATGTGTTGCTGGATGATGTCTTGGCTTGTGCATAAGCCGAAGGGTACTCGTTGGAAACAATATCTTCCAAATGGTGTTCTGAAGGTGGTCAGGTCTTGGCATTCCTCTGCAAGTGTACTGACCAGTATCCATCCTTTGCGTCTAGCTTGGAGAAGAATTGAGCTCCTGCGAAGATCGGTTGGATTTCTTCCAAGGTTGGAATTTTGTGTGGACACCTTTTCAAGGCATCGTTCAACCTTCTGGGGTCAAGACATATCCGTATGGATGTTCTATCTTTCTGATGACTCCTTGCTTCTCCATGTTATCTAGTTCGGCTTTCCCGCTAAAGCTTCCTATGGCATCAAACTGATCTGGGTATGTTTGTTTGAGGTCACTAACACTTGTAATAGGTGTATGTGTAGGTGTGTCCTTGTGCATTATATGGATTGTGATAATCCCGAGATCTGTGCAACCTAACAACCCTAAGATAGCTGGTCCATTTACGTCTGCTACGTAGAATGTATGAGTATACCATTCTGGACTCTTGTATCTACACTTTAAGTCTAGTGTACCATCGCATGGTATTGATATTTCGCCATATGCTACTAGCTTTACTGGTGTACGTTTCACTACCTGCCTTCACTTGTCACCATATATTTGTTTGGCTATGCATACTGTGATAGTATTAGCGCTTGCCCCAGAGTCTATCTTCAGATATAGGTAATGCTGACCTGATTTCTGTGGGCATATGATGTCAATGTTTGCATATTAAAGCTACTGTACCCTGTGAGTTGATCACTGTGTGTGGTCCGATCGTGTGTATGGTGTCAAAATGTTCGAAGTTTGATGGACCTGTTGATTTTTGATGATCATGATCTGTGGTAGTATCATGTTCAGTGTCCATTTCACTTATCGGTTTATACTTTCGACCCTTTGATTTTGATCGTGATTGGTTATCGTGTTTCGGTTTACGGTCATCAGATTTCTGGTCATCTGATTTACGATCTACTTCCGGGTTCGCTGTTGGGAGGAGTTCGTTCTGAGCTGCTACAGCCACGTTGCTTCAATCCCACCGCTGCCACCAGTGTGGCGTAACCGGGCTCTGCCGGGGTAGCGTTCTGCCTTGCAGTCTCTCAAAACCCGGTCCACGCTCTCGACAATCAATTATCTCTCTCAGTGGGCTCTCACAAAAGTATATCGTGTAAGAAATAACGTGGACTAGCTCTCATTTTACTCACTCCCGCAATCACTGAATGTCTGACAGGACTAAAGAAACAACACTTGCACAGTATATCTGCAATTCAAGTAACTTTACTCGTTCCTGGTAACAGACCTGTCGCGACGACAGGTCAACGCTGACTCACAGCTGAAAGCTGAATGCTGACTGACTGATTGTTGTTGTTGTTGTTGCGAATAATGGCGTTTCCATCGTCATTCGATGATTTCCGCCAGGCAATGTGAGAGGGCGTAGTTACTGGTCCTCTCTTAATACTTTTACTGTTGGATCGACGATAGCCTAGTGGCGTTGTGTTGTGCAATTAACAATTTCAGTAAATTGTTAGTAGTTATTTTCTGTATTGTTATTCGGCTTGTTATTTTAAAGAATTCATTAGGAAAGAAAGGATGAAGTGGTTGAATATTAGTTGCGATCAGTTCATTACGTTAGGACCTCTCTCCGTATAATGAAGCAATTTGTACAATTTATACAATGAAGCAATTTATACCGAGGATAGTACCACTGTCACTAATACTAATAGATAATATAGCAAAACGTAACTAATACTCGATTAATACTTAATTAATACGCAATTAATGTTTATAGCTGAGCATCACAGTTCATTGTACCTTCCACTGCCTTTTAAAAAAGCTACCACCTTTCCTATATATTCCTCATTTCCTAGTAATTGACCTAGATTAGGATTTTGAGTTTTTAGTGCTCTATACATTCTCCTTCGTTGTCTTTCATATTTTGGACATGATAATAAAAAGTGCTCAATTGTTTCTATCGTTTGGCATTCTACACATAATCCAGTGTCGTGTTTTCTAATTAAATATTTATAGTAATTCAGGTTACATTTACCAAGCCTGAATTGGTGGATTAATCCTTCGTCCTTTCTGTTCAAACCTTTGATTTTAAAAACATTATTTACATTTGTATTGATGCTATACAAGTGTCTTCCATTCTCTGCTTTATCCCAGAGGCTTTGCCACATGGATTTATAAAAAATATCTGATTCACTTACGAACTCACTTTTGTTTTGGTTTACTATTATATCATTTTTTTTTTTTTGGAAGCTTGTTTTGCCAACAAATCAGCTCTTTCATTTCCTGGTAGGCCGCAGTGGGCTGGTACCCATTCAAGGTTAACATCTATCCCGAAGGAGTTTATAGCAAATAATTTTTCATAAATCTCAACAATTATGCTGGATTCTTTCATATTCTTTATGGCTTCTAAAGCTGATGCTGAATCTGTTAAAATCACTACTGCAATTGGATGATATTCATCTATCCATTCAAGTGCCATTAATATAACTACCAGTTCTGCTCTCATGATGGATATATTGGATGTTTTAAAGCATTTACTTAGGCTTAGTTTTGGGATATAGTAAGCTGCTCCTGTATACCCTTCCTGATGTTTTGAAGCGCCTGTATAGATTCTTAAACAGTAATTCCATTTTTTCTTAATGACCTCTACAGCATATTTTTTTGATTCTATTGATGAAGAAAACTTCTTAGAAACAAAATCCTTTATTTCTGTAGATATACTTGGCATCTTATAGTGCCAATAAGGTTTAACCGTCATGCATTCAGTGAGTTGTTCAATATTCCCTATTTCCAAGTTCCTCAATCTTTTGACGAAAGGACCTTGGCCCATTTTCCAAGAGTAACTTTCGTATTGCCAACACGGTAATAAGACTTTTTTGGTAGGATGGTTAATTTTAGCTGCATAAACATATTCCTCCTGAGTTGCAATGGCATTTCCCCGCATTCAACTTGTAGAGCCTGTAATGAAGTTAGATAAATTCCTCCAGTAATAATTTTAAGAGCCTGGAATTGTATGGTGTCTAATTTCTTTTTAAGAGAATTACTCGCGCCATCATAGGCTTCACTTCCATAATCTAACACAGAGCGGATTAAGCCTTTATAAACATAATGAAGTATTTCCGAGTTATTGCCCCATTTGGTACCAGCAATACACCTCATAAGATTAAGTCTTTTTATTGCATCTTATTGAAATTTCATTTATATGTTTACTCCACGTCAATCTCGAGTCGAACCATACTCCAAGGAATTTGTATTCTTTTTCTAATTGAATACTTTGACTATAAATCTGTAAATCAATATTTTTCTTTTCCTTTCTGCCGAATACTACGGCTCTCGATTTTGAGGATGAGAGATGCATACCCCATCTATCACACCATTTTTCAATTAAGCCTAGAGCCGCCTGTAACTTTTTTTGTACATGTGTCATATTTCTGTGCGAAAACCAAATACAAATGTCATCAGCATACAATGCTATTTCTACAGTATCCTGAATTCGTCTAAGATCATTGATCATGAAATTAAAAATTAAGGGACTTATCACGCTCCCTTGGGGAATGCCTATATTGCAATTTTCTTGTTCTGATATGTAGTTTCCCACTCTAACACGATTCACTCTGTTAGACATGAATGCATAAGTCCATTTTAAAATCTTACCTGTGAAACCTTGATTATATAATTCGTAAACTATGCCTTGTCTCCATACTCTGTCGTATGCCTTCTCTAGGTCAAGAAAAATCACAACTGTATGTTCTTTATTTGCCATTCCTTTTTGAATATCTGTTTCTAACTTAATTAAATGGTCAGTTGTACTTCTATTCTTCATAAAACCTGATTGTATGGGAGTAATAATATCCTCTCCCTCGATATACCATGAGAGTCTGTTTTTCACAAGTCTCTCCATTAGTTTACACAGTGTTGGACTGACATCTCACGATGTAGACATACATATTTCACAATTAACTATAACGCCCTCTACGTCTTACTAAACTACTGGACTAATTATGCTACAGTACTTGTTTCATTACAGACCATGTCCATTGTAAAAGTCAACCTATAGCAGTTGACTGACACAAATAGACAGAGACCATGCTCGACATGCTCGAATTATTAAATTTTATTTAAATTCATTCAATTATTTCACTTTCAACTCAAATCACTGTAGACTGGAATGTAGCTAAGATTTTCATTTCTTTGTTAAATATTGAGTTTCAATCATGTATTCACTTCTTCTTTTACATAATCACAGGTGGTCACGAAATTTCTAAACATGATTTTGGATTCATAGAACATAAGTGTTGCCGTACTTTTAGCACTGTTATTGATAGCCAATCACCACTCATTTTACACACCAAAGTACGTTCCGTAGTAGTGTTGTCACTATAAGAGAAATAATGCGTTTATTGTCAATTTGCCATGTAAAGAGTAAATAAATTTCATCTCACCCTGCTTGAAATGTATCACTCCTTCCAAGTCCTCTGGTTGAATTATCCTCAAATGATGATGTGCCTGTCATGAAGGAATGAAGTCAGTTTGAATGAGAAGGAAAGAATGAATTTAAGATACAAATTTGGAATGTTCTCTATCGATCGTTCACTGTATCGGTATTCTATTAAGTATAGCAAAAATGGTGTAGGGAGCTTTAAAGACCATATTGGATTTGATAAGCTTCACATTATACATATTTCAAAAAGTAGCAACAAATTGGATTGGACTTATATAGTATAATTTTTTTTAAACTTTCAAAGGAAATTGATATTGGAAAATAAAGGCTTACCACTCTGAGCTTGTTTTCCAGAAGCCACCCAGGGAATGAAACCTAATTGATGTATCTCTGCTTTCTTCTTCTGCTCTGCTGATCGTATCTCACTTTCTAGTTGAATTTCGGTTCTCAGCTTCCAGTTCTCACGCTTAAGTTGCTCCAAAAGCCCTTCTTTATTGTCATGCTCCTTCTTCCAGCTTAATTCTATTGACCGTTTTTCTTTTTCAAATCGCGCTCTGTCTCCCTCTCTTCCTTTCTTTAATTCTTCAACTTGCTGTTTTAGAGTCGTCTCGTTTCGCTCTTTCTCCTCTAGCATTTTTGTCAAAGTGTCTTCCCATTGTAGCTTAGAAACTAATTTCGTCATCATTTCTTCGTTGTCGATCTCTAGTCGCTCAACCTGACGTCTTGCCTTCTCTTCTGTCCCCTGTACATTTTCAGCCATTGTTTCGATACGCAGATCCTTTGATTGCAGTTTCTTTTCATATTCCATCTCCTTCTGCGTGTACGTCTCCTTTATCTGTTTTGCTCTTTTCTCGTTTTCCATCATTGCTCTTTCACTATGTTCACGCCTTTCTTGTTCAATCTTCATGGTATCTTGTAGTCTTCCATTTTCACTGACTATGCTTGCGCAACTTGTACGGGACTCGTTGAGTTCCTGCTCTAAGTCTGTAATTCTACCTCGGAGTAACTTCTTTGCTTCTTCTTCTTCTTCTCTAATGTCTTCTCCGTGCCTCTTCAGTGCTTCTGTGACATCCTTTCTCCCTTGTTTCCATAACCACTCAAAGCGGGGAAAAGAATAAAGCTTTATTAGGTCAGCAGACATTCCTTCGTCACCTTTCTTCAGGCATCCATGGAGGAGGTGAAGCCACTGCAACCGTGTCTCATCAGAGCGATTGCCATCAAGGTGAGGTACGTCATAGATGTCAGTAATCCCGTGCTTTTTAAGTTTTTTTGTTGCCTTCTCGATGTCTTCACTTTGCCCGGTAGTTTCCATGGCACATATAGGGACGTGACCTATGCAAAAGAAAACAAATCCGTTTAATCGATTTAATCGTCTCATGACCTCTATGTACCACACATTTGTCATCTAATTCCTTGTTTAGAGGGGGGGGGGGGGGGGGGGGTAGGTATTGAGAACATGACCTGAACACGCGTGCACGTCTTACTGGCAACCTCCCGAATTTTGAACTGACAGTTTACACCTACTCAATCATTGCTATATATTCTTTTGTGGAATATATATCTACAAGTCTTAAATATGAACGTCGTTACCCGTCAAGAAAAGAAGGATTCTGTTGGTGAAATGACATCGAACCTAACGGTCCCAAAGCCGAGGGAGAATTTGGGCGTGGCAGCCGCTGCGCACGTCGCTCACCCCGCATCATCAGGGACCTTTAGATTTGCGTGGACTGATATGTGTGACGTCCATTTACGGCAGTGCATTAACGGGACGTCGATCATAGCATAGACCTATTGTCTTCGTGCGAATCTTAAAGTCCCTATCACAACACGCCAGCCCGACTATCTCCGGGGCGGCACTGTCTCCCACTGATGGGGCCGCAGCTATGATTGAGATAAAGGATATGATTCATGCCCTGTCGCTAGATATGTCATGTAAGTAAGTCTAAGAATTGAGAGATCAAGAACCTCTTTTCGTAAAAAACTTACAAAATTACTCTTAAGTGAAAACCACGAATCATAACCTCGTAACTATATAGTTGTATATAGTAACCAGTCTCATTTTAATATTATACACAAATCTTATTTATAAAATTTGGAAACCCATCATGTATTTTTGAATTAACTTTATTTTAGGCTTTAGATAACGAGAGTCAGACTCGACTAGCACATGTGCTATTTTTTACTCTATTTTACCATCGATCACAAACTCATTGTAAATAGTCATTTATTGTTTTACTCTTGAAGCAAAGTTTACTTTATCTTTGTCATAATGTACATGTATATCGCTGTAGAACATGTATTTTTTTTATAATTCATGTCATGCATTTATGTTATATTGACATTGTCATTGTACATTTATCTTTTGTTTCAATGTTTTCAATGGTGGTGAATAAATAAATTCAATTCAAAATTCAATTCAGTTTGACCGTGTTCTTTCCGACTTATGCCAACTTAATTTAAGTCTTACTGAAACGAGAAAAAAGGTTAACGACCTAGAATCAAGTGTATTGGATTCCTCCGCTAGAATTACTGATATTGAAAAAGGAAAGCTACCCAAATTACAAGATGATATCAAAAAAGTACGGGAAGAGATGGAAGAGAAGTGCCTCCTTCCTGAGATTCACAACAGAAAGGCAAATCTTCTTCTTTACGGTGTTCATCGTTCACCCAACGAAGATGTCTACCAAAAGGCAAGTGAGGTATTTTCTGCCTTCCTGGGAATATCCGCAGTAGAAGCTTAAAAAATACCAATCGCTAACGCCCATCGCCTTAATCCCAGCAGAGTCTCGCAACCAACGAAGTCACCGCGCCCCGATGCTATAATTGTTCGTTTCGCTCTTATGAAGGACCGAGACCGTATCCTCCGTGCTTACGAGAATCCCGGACGCCAGCGCTTCCCCGATGATTCTCCGCTCGCCAGGGTGTGTATCAGGACGGATCTCCCGCCAGGGATGAAACGCGAACGGAGCAGGCTATCTTCGCAAGCTTACAATCTGAGGAAGAACCAGCAGCTTCAAACAATAATAAAGGTTGTAGGAGCTAAAGTATCATTGTACGCCAGGAAAACATCAAGAAATGGCGGTCCACCGGGTGAGTGGTCACTTTGGAAAGAGTGAGTTCCATATTTAGTGTAGCCTATCGATCAGAAAAAGCTAACAGGAAAATATTTAGCCGTAAATTTGCTCGTCTACTTAACAGTGACACTTCCATGGCACGAGACCCTGTTCCAGATGCATCCAGTTTTTATCCCAACTCTTTCTTCCGAACTCCTGACTTCCATACTCTTTCTCCGAATACTGATGGAGACATGAACCTGGCCTATAGCAGTTCTTTTAACGAACGTGTAAGCTTTATTTTATTCAGTATCATCCACCCGGATTGAGTAAATAACTCTTCTCAAAATCAGAGAATCTGATCTCCCAAAGTTACACAAATTAATAGGGTGTTAGTAAATACATCTGTCTATTATTATGTTTTATGCTTAAATGAAATTATAAAAACAGTGTTATACCTCCACCTATAAAGATGGACCGTAGAGAAATATGTTCTACCCCCACAGCAGATACATTCCCAAATAAACATTTAACTGTTCCATTAGAGGCTATTGCATATGTGCTGTTTGTATAGTAACACATGTATATCCAACTATGAAGACTTTATGTGGATTGCATGTATATTATCATAAGTACCACAAACACTGTCAAACTTCCCACTGATTAGTGGACACAATTGTAGATAGATATTTGGCTTATATTTGGCATATTTGTATGGAAATGCATGAATGCCCAATTACTATGCGTTTAATTTCATACCAAATCAGCAATTATATTTAAAAAATAAATAAAACTTTGTCCTCTACCTCAGAATAATGCAATCAACAGTTTAAATACACTGTTGTATTGCATACTTAATATAGGACCGAATTGTAGAAAAAATATTTGGCTTATATTTTGACTGATTTCTGTGGAAATACATGAATGCCCAACATAGGTTTAATTTGTTTAAAGAAGTTGAAGGAGTCCCTCAGTGATGCCCTGGCCGGTCTCATCCCATACTATGCGACCAACCACCTGATAGCTAACCCTGATAAAACTCAGATAAGCGCATTCCACCTCAAGAACAGGGATGCCAACCATCAACTAAGAATCAGCTGGTATGGGAAAAGGCTGAAGCACACTCCCAACCCAGTCTACTTAGGCGTCACACTCGATCGCTCCCTTACCTACAAGAACCACATTGCCAACACAAAGGCAAAAGTTGGAGCCCGCAACAGCATCCTCAAGAAGCTAGCCAACACCAACTGGGGGACTGATGCCAGTCCGGACGACAGCCCTCGCGCTTTGCTTCTCTGCTGCGGAGTATGCATCACCAGTATGGAGTAGGTCGGCCCATGCACCCAAGATTGACCCAGCTCTAAATTCATCTTGCAGAGCGATCACTGGATGCCTTAGGCCAACTAAAGTAGAAGACATCTACCTGCTCTGCGGTATTGCCCCTCCACACGGGGAAGCGGACACTTTTTTTTTTTGGTCTCCAAATTTTAAAATTTGACATTTTTCTTCCTTGGGGGGGGGGGGGTAAGGTCACCTTTTTTAGGTTAGCCGTGGGCATATATATATATATATATTTTTAAATCAAAAGGGGGGGGGTTAGGTTTTTTTTAGGGGGGTTTACACACATGGAAATACCAAAGGGGGGGTTTGAACCCCCAACCCCCCCCCCCTGCGTACGCCCCTGCCCCTGTGTATATCGTAAACATAATTTATGCTTGCCTGAACCTCCAACTATCTAATTAATTATTCAATCATCGCTATATCTCCAGTTGGATGAAGTCCTGGCAAACTTTCAATACCGCAATTTATGTTAAACAAAATTAATCATGTGCAACTGACGCATATTCTGTGTCCAAACACTTGCATCACTAATTCACTGTATTTTGCCCTCTATAATATCGATGTGTAACCAGCTGCTGCTCAGGCATGCTCTATAAAATGTTATTGTCAAAGTCATTTTACAGCCATGACATTCTTCTCCCTACCAATGTCAACCACTTACGTACTTAATGGCTACTAACTATAACAGCTTGCTTCAAAAATATTTGAGGACATGAATACTACATGCCTTTACCTGATACCTCCATTTTTCACACTGTAACAGCGGGCAGGTTGAAGTGTTGGGGTCAAGCTGGGTTCAACTGAATTTTGCACGTCAATACATCCAGATAATAAAAGACGATAAACTGAAGCCGTTTATATGATTGTATAATGAATATCTATTGTATAACTTTTTTCTATGCACATTCCCAGACACTGATTCTTCCATCCAGCCTGTTTGTAGTGTTTTGCATTTGCGTAGGCCGTAGGGCGAATGTTTTGCATACAAATTGTTGCAATCTGATCGCTCAAAATTGCCTTTGCCCTTACAATTTTCTAAACATATGGGCCCGAGTTCGCAGAGGGGGTTTGTCGACAATCCAGGCCTCCTTTTGTTTCGACGCATTTTTTTTTGCAAACCAAGGTTTGTAAAGACGCGTCGAAACGCGTCATAATTATGACGCACATAAAGATGGGTTTGTCGACGGGCCTCCTTTGTGAATTCGGGCCCAGGATTGGTGTTTGTGAACAACCGATTTTGTCAACTTTGCTTGTGTTTACTTTGAATGATAACACTCTGACACGAATTTATGGTCACATTCAATACTCTAGTCGTAATTACATTTGGTGCTGGAAAAATTCACCTACTTTGGGGCACTTGCTTCAGTCAGTATGTTTTATTTTATGTACATTTAATTCCTTGTTTATTTTTTTTTAAATAAAACATTTTATTTACGAAAACTTGTGGTTAAGTCCTATGCATGGTGTACCCAATTATATATCTTTTCCCTAAGGGAGTAATGCCATTAACGTGCTTTTTTTCCTTCTTCTTCCTCTTTTTTACGACAGCATTTATAGTCAGTGCCCGTATAACAATTTTTGTTGTTTTTTTGCTTTGTTTTGTTTTGTCATGTCAAGATATTCTATTACTGTGCCCTTGTATGTTTCGTCGAGTCTGTGTTTGTCAGTTGTTTCTATCTGTCGTCCTGCTGCATAATATGTTTGTTCCGCTTTCCTTTTTCTTATTTCCTTTCTTCTGCACCTGCATACTAAGAGCGCCTCCAATGGTTTATTTGATTTTATACTTGCGCTTTCTCCTTTTCAGGTACTGCTTCCGAACCCCGCATGGCTGATCCGGCTGATTTAGATCACAATTTACCTTTTGAGTCTGTGAGCGACGATGACCTTTTTGATTTATTGAGACTCAATCAAGCTAATA